ACTGAACTTGTACTACGATTTAACGAAATTCCCCCTTACTGAACTTGTACTACGATTTGACGAAATTCCGGTCTGCCGGTTGTTAGGGGGTGAGTGGCAGTATCCAAGTCTAACCCTCAAGTCCAGTTGCTAAGCCTCAGCCTACAACCCTCAATCCTACACCCTAAAACCTTGACGCTAAACCCTCAAACCTAAACCCTAAACCCTCAAACGTAAAGCTACTAACCCGCAAACCCTAAGCTGCTTTGACAAGCCGGTCGCCGCCGCCAAATAGGTGAAGAGCAGTGTCCGTGTGAACTCTCCGCTGGGGCTTAGGGGTTCCAGCACTCGAAGAGCAGGCATCACGATAAGACACCTCAGGGACTGGCTCACAGAGGCCAAAATGAGACCTTCAGAGTTGCAGGGGTTTAGGGTCTAGGGTTTAATGATATTTCTGGACTATACTGGGGTGTATAGGGATTCGATAGGGGTTATATAGGGACGTAGAAGGATGATGTAAGGATCATGTAGGGACGTATGGGGCTACAACCTTCGGACTAAGGGCCTGTACATGAATAACATAGGGATGCTTCGGGATTTTATATAGGAGATACATGTGGATGTACAGGGATTATGTAAGGATGATATACGGATGTGTGGGGATACAATGGTTAAGGGGGGGTAGCCTTGGAGGTGCGGCGCCTATCCAGAATGTCCAAACCTTCTTTCTCGGAAAATGAAATCAACAGACAAGAACAGTTAAATCAGTATGAATGCCTCCTAAAAGAACTCTATACCTGCCTCCAAATGGCGGTTTCCCAAAAAGGACCCTGGTGTATATGGAGGTTATAACTTCTTATAGTTTGAGGGTCTGCCTCCTATCTACTTACCCAGTCGCTCATACATGAAAAAGAAAGAAACATTCAAAAGAGATCAGGCGCGGATGAACGGAGAGTTGGGAAACGGATTCCAGACTACCTCAAGTAGATTCGGATTGTGGTTCAGGGATTTGGGGGTTGGGGCTTAGGGATTTGGGGATGTTTTTTGTACCCAACAAGTGTAAATCTTTCAGCCTTCAGAGGCTCTGCCCACATGTTTTGTAATACCAGGGAATTACATAACTCGCAGAACAGGGAAGACTCACATCCCCCTAGCGTTATGACAAATCTGACATAACAGTGGTAGCAAATCTCTTCCGAAAACGCCTGCAGCAACTGCACAAGGCAATAGAAAGAATGAATTGCGGGCTTAGGGCAACAAGGTGACCACAAAGCGCACCTGTAGTCAGTAGCAAGTGCATGGAGGAGGATGGCGTCAATGTTGATTAGGCGGAGGCCTAGTCAAGTTAAGCATTTTGCTTCTCATGCTTTCAGAGAAGACTGGCCCGGAAGCCCAGAACAGCCTGACTAGAGAACTGACTAGAGAACATCAGAGCTTACTTCATCCGTGCCTGATCCTATCCCACGAGTTCAGGATGATAAGACTACGATTTGGTTTTCTGATGAATGTAACGTGGGTAGGGACGCATTCGAGGAGTTTGTGAATTCCGAAAGCCTCTCTGGGTCTTAAATGGGGAGGCTGCACATGGGGCACTCCATGCTGTGGGAGTTCCTTTCAAGCATCCTTAGCTTTATACGGTCCCTGACTAAAGTGGAATTCTATGACCCTCCTTTATCCCTACATGTTCCTGGGTCCCTAAGTCACCGCCTTTGGTTTGGGATCCCCTTCCAAAAAGGATTAACATCTATTGGGACATAGCATGGGTCCCACTGTTGATGGAAACTACCGACATACCCACTTCAAGAAAGTGGCTGTCTGCACGATGCGCCGGCTTGCTTCTGGCACTGCCCCGCCGGCGAGCCTGCCAACGTGGTAAACAGCTGTGAAAAATATGATAGTTAGGTTCCTTAAACAAGAGACCCTTACATAGATCCAAATACATTACTAAGATACCACCCAAGAAGGGACCCTAAATCTCGGAACCCCCCAGATGGGTTCCCATGTAGTTGCTCTGGAGTCTGAGTACAGCATACACGATGTGGGCACGTGGACCCACAGAAGCTCTGCTTGCCTTGCGGTTTTGGGCCTTGGTCTATCGGAAAACGTAAGGACTCCTATCTGACTGCTTTTCGGGTCTGCTGTTTTTGGGGTTTAGGGTTTTGGGGATGCAGGACTCTTGCAGGAAATCTCGACACCTGACACTGGATGAGCAGCCGCTTCACACTCTTATGCCTAACGAAGGTAGCATCACGGTCATTGGCACCGTCATTGCTGCGCATTTCTTGATGTGATAATAGCCAACTAGCAAATAGTTGATTTCCATTGCTGATCTCCATGATCTATGTATGGTCTTCTCAACGCAAAGCCCCCACCTCTGAAGTCTATGCCTTCAACTAGCACGCCTTCTGACGCTCTAGAGTTAATCGTAAAGCACAAGGCCACAGCCACCCAGGAAGCAACAGCACTTGATTCCAATTCTATCAATGCTGGGATACCGCCCACACGGTCCCGGCTATCCCCATCATTCAGCCACTCCCTAGGTAGGTCCACCTGAGCCCACACCCTCAATCCCTACGTAGGTCCCCCTGAGCCCACACCCTAAATCACTAAACCTAAATGAGATTGTAGCTTCCAGTTTCTTTCTCATTCTCAGTCCCTTGGACCCTCAAAGTACACAGCTTTCGCGCAAAGGCCTTCGCCCGTGGCCGTGGCGCAAATCGTCACCCAAATCCCCCCAGGTACTTTATCCTTGCTGGCGGGTGTGTGATTCATGCGCTGTCTAATGGGGGGGCTCCAAAAGCATACCATAGGGGGCCAGAAGGATGTGGGAACTACCAAGGCATTATGGGCGTCCTATGTACTCAAGGACTCTGAGCAGGCAATTTCGAGACTCCCAAATGATCAGCTGCATACTTCTCAAGAAGTGCTACGCTTCAAGCGTCTGTCAACCTAAATTCTCTCAAGCTCTCATGCCCATTTGTTGCCGGCGCCCCTTTTGCCATCACTACCCTGCCTCCCTACCCTTGTTCGTGCAAAGCTTACCAGGACCTTGCATCAGGAAAAGAGATGCAGGGCTAAGCTTCAGAGTCGAACTCTAGAGTTTGTGACTTGGATTTAGGATCTGGGGCTCGGGGTCCAGGACTGAGGTTTTTCTGGCATCCCCCACGGAGTGAAGTCCCAAGCCTCCGCGATCCTGGGCTATGCAATCCTTCTTGAAGCCTTTTCTCCTGGAGCAGATCCTTTTTTGAAGAACCCCATGCACACCCTGAACAACGAATGAGTAATCCTGAATCTTCGACCCTGAACCCTAAACCCTAAACCCTAAACCCTAAACACCAAAACCCTAAACCCCTAAACCCTAAACCCCTCACCGCTAAACCCTAGTTTCAATGGAGCCGAGTATCTGAAGCCCCGGAGCCCCAGAGCAGAAAGAATGAGGGGCAAAGGACCAGACTCAACCTGAACTACTCAGGCTGTGCTTTGGGGTTTAAGGTTCAATTAGTTGTGGGTCTAGGTTCACGGTTTAGGATTTAAAGGTTTTGGGATCTTCGGATTTTAGGGTTCAATTCCAGGGGGGGGCTGGAGATCTATGTTTTTAGATTCGACCGCAGGTTTGGGTCCAAGCTAGTTCTGCACAACCGCGGAAGATCCATGACTACAGAACTGAAGGTTAAGCCGTACAAAGCAGTGTGTCTCACGCACGATTCTTGCTAGTGATTACTGCTGCGACTGCGACTGCGACTGCGACTGCGACTGCAACTGCAACTGCGGCTGCGACTGCTGCTGCGACTGCGACGACTGCTGCTGCTGCTGCTGCTGCTGCTGCTGCTGCTGCTGCTGCTGCTGCTGCTGCTGCGACTGCTCCCTCTCCTAGCCCTGCCTTTACCTACCACTACCCCTAGCCCTGCCACGACTGCTACTACAACGGCTATGTACTTTGACTTGACCACTACTGTGGTTCGCGCTAATCACTCTTCTTCTACTATTCTTAATGATAATAACACTTTTGAAGTCTCTGAGTTTTTGTTTAGTTCAGCAGATTCAGGGTTCAGAGGGCATCTGGCTGGAGAATTTAGGTGCTTCTATGGCTTCCCGCTCGGGTGGGGGCACTCAGGGCCCCAGGCTCTATCTTCACTTTGGGCATTGATGGCTTCAGGACTGCAGTATTCTCTGCGTGGCTACGTATGGTGCTCGGGGCAAGAAAAGCATTAAGCTGGGTTGCGTTTCAAGCAGATGGATTAAAGTCTCAGAGCTCTGACTTTTCGCCGCTCTTTACTGACTCGCCGGCTTAAACAACAAGCCCTCGAGCCTACTTCAAAACCCTGAACCCCAAACCCAAGAATCCAAACAACCCTAAATCCAACAACACCACACCCTGAAATCTTGGACATGGGAATCTCTAAGACCAGTCGCAGGATCGCAGCAAAGGTCCCCAGTCGGATGTTCCCTGGCAGGTCCTGTCAGCTCTTGTTGCTTTGGGGTTTAGGGGTTTAGGGTTTAGGGTTTAGGGCTTAGGGTTGCGCCGGAGGAGGACGAGGACGGGTTGAAGGGTTTAAGGGGTGGGTTGAAGGGTTTAAGGGGTGGGTACACAATAGGGCCCATAGACTGGTGAGTTATGGGGCCTTAAGGGTACATACAGGGTACAGAATAGGTATACAAGGATTTCAGGGTTAAGGGTCTGACAATAGTCCTAGCCTTAATGCTAGCCACATCCACATCATGTTATCTAGATCCTGAATGACCCAAAAATGGAACCTTCTTATAATGCTTAGTTTCCCCAATGTAGTAACGAGGTTATTTGAGTTTTTGGCACGTTCCTTTTTTTGGATCCTTCAAGGGCTCTGGGTAGTACTAGAGCACGAGAAGAATACCCTTTTGCGGGCAATCGCGAAGCTTTTGGCCGGGGCCTTGAGCACGTCCGCCCAGTTGACGCTGCTGAGAATACCTCCCTTTTGAAAATGTGAAGTGTGATGTGAGGGCAACTAGTCTTCCCAATATAAGGTGGAGGGGATTCATTCAAACAAGGTTTGGGGGTAGGCTAGAATTGCCTTTTTACAAGTCAGGATACTGAAGGCATGCTCTGGCTCATTGGTCAGCTTCGGCTGTCAGGCCTTCAGTGGTTGGGAGAAGGCGCTGGTTTTGGGTCTAGTGAGAATGTCATGGCTGTCAGTTTTCAAGATTTAAGACAGTTCAGGACACCTAGTTGCGCGCAAGTTGCTTTGGTTCTGACGTGACAAGAAGCCATGTCCCGACTCTTGATTCTATATTTCCTGCATGACCAAGGTATAGAAAACTCCCGCCCATAAGTGACCTTGAGTCGTGCAGGATTTTAGTGTGCACCTCAAGACCCCGAACCCTACCCGTCCCCATCTAACCCCTGTGGGGACTTGTGGATCATAGGTTGCATATCCAACGGGGCGCGCTAAGACGTGCTTGGTCTGCTTGGTAGGACCAGTGCCCCGCCCCACCTCTCCAGCCATTTTCAACGTGGGCTTTCCGAAAATGAGGGCTCCCTCCTTGGGAGCGCCCATGATGAGGATTAATAGGGTTTAGGGTTTAGGGTTTAGGGTTTTGATGATAGTGTTGGAAGAGCATTTGAGGGGGCCGTGTATTTATGGAAATTTCCCCCTCCCGACTGCTGCGGCCTGCATCACCCCTGACAGCTGACGCCGCCCGCAGCAGTTGCAGATCCTGCTCACGGCTAGATAGGTGCCATGAGCAACAGGACTGCAAGTCCCAAATCACAAGGGTTTAGGGTTCAGGGATATGGGGTATTCCCCCAATAAGAACAGAGAATCAAATGTTAAAGAATATGGAAAATTAAGTGGCAACTGGGAACCATATAGTGGTTTAGGGGGATTAGGGCTTCCTAAAAAGTAGAGGTTTACCGAAACTACCAACACTAATCCCCCAGCCCGAAACACATGCCAGCTTCCAAGACCTGAAACCCTAAACTCAAAAGCTCAACTGGGGGGATGCCATGAACAGGAATCCCCAACACTTACTGCAGAATAGGGATCCCCAACACTTACTATAGAATAGGGATCCCCAACACTTACTATAGGGACTCCCAAAAGGGGGCCGCTAACTTTTGGAAACCCACCCGAATCCATAAAGCGTGGCCTGTAAAGAAAGGGTAGAACAAGCTGAGGACCGCCCGCGAAGTTGACTCCTAGGGTTTAGGGTTTAGGGTTTAGGGTTTAGAGGGCCCCAGTCTTGAAAAGTCTTCTGGATGCAACGCAGGTAGTTTTTTCAAGCAAATAGGGTTTCAGGTTCAAGGTTTAGGGTATATAGGGACTAGGGAGACCCTGAAATCTAGCCCGTTACCCATAAACCCTGAATTGGGTTGCTGTTAAGGAACTTGAATGAAGTTACCATATTGGATTGTATCATGGATATATACAGTAATTGATATGGTTTCCGCAATATAGTAACTAACATTAAGTTCCTTAACAGCAACCCAGTAAATGGTTTAGGGTGTATAGGGGGTTGGGAATCGAGTCTGCACCCTGCTTCTCAATGCTTGAAGCGAGAACCAAACTCCCCCTGTATTACCCTAATAATGGCAAGCTTATGAGGGTTTGGGGCGTAGGGATCCCTTACATGCCCAAGAAATGTTGCAAGAAGGATCGCCCAAAAAGACCGAATTGCAGCCTATATGATAGAGGCCCTGGCAAGCCTGAATTAGCCTATAGAATTTACTATAGAACCCCTATCAACCCCCTTGGAAGGGGGCGCTGCTATGCTATAATATACTATAATATACTACTATAATATACCATGCTAATATACTATAATTATATACTATGATATACTAATATACTAATATAATATACTAATATGGTATACTATAAGAATATATGATATTATACTAATATAATCTACCATCACACTGATTTTACCCAAACCTTCCGCAACGCCTCGCTCGCAGGCAGCCAGTAGGGTCTCCTAGGCTACCGCATTGGGAAGTTTAGGGTGCCTTAGAAACCCCAACCCCTTCTGGGTGGTTTAGGGATTTAGGGATTTAGGGTTTTAGGGTTTAGGGTTTAAGGGGTTACTATAGAGGCCTAGGATATGCAGGGCTTTGGGCTTAGGGATGTTTAGGGTTTGGGGGCATGAAGCTAGGGTTCAGGCTGGGGTCGGTTAGAGTTTGGGCATGGGAGGGGCGTACTGGCCTTCTGACCATTGTTTTGCATACTTTCGAGGCCCACTTGCTAGAAGTCAGGTGCCCATCATTCATCAAAGATCTTGGGTGGCGGAGACTCACATGGGAAATAAAACGGCAATGTGTCAAGAATGCGTCGCCGGATTTAAGGGCTTCGGTCCGGGACGCAGCTAAGGAGGATGTCGATCGATAAGGGGGATGGAAGATATCTTGCACCCCCTTGACATACCCTCTGCCTGTACCCTCGGAAGTAAAGTATATGAGCTTTAATCTAACCTCCTAGTATCCCCCTGAAAACCCCTACAGTAATCCCCTGTAACGCCCTTTGAGGAGTTGAGTTTAGACCGTAGCTCATATGGGAGGCCCCGGACTGTCCCAACCTAACCCAACGTAAGGAAAGCTAGACGCCTGGCAGCCACGTCTCTCTTTCTCCGGACGCGAAGCATAGCAGCGGCAGCAGAGTTAGTCCTTAGCCGGTAGGAAATGGGCGAACCACCACACTAGCATGTTGGGTCGAAGGCAATGGCCGGCACCCCAAACACCTAAATCTGTTTTCAATTCTGTTGGGTAGTTTTGTGTTCAGCTTAAGGCGAGGGCTTAGATGAGTCGGGTTCCGCGCCTGTTGCGGCACGGGTTTCGCGAGGGAAGTCGGGTGGCAGCGAACAGCCTTCGTACAACGCTCAAGTTTTGAGGTTTCAGCGACTTCCGTGAGCAGATTCGGTCTTATGAGGACACCAAAGTCATACAACCCTGAAAGTAGTTGAATCACGGAACAACCCAGCGGCGCCAAACGTCCTTTCTGTCTTTGCAGGAAGAAGCACCGGATCGTACTCTACTGCAGCAAAGCATCTTTTACACTTTCTTCGTTTGTTCTCTTTGGTCTCCTTGCAAGAAGCACCCGATTGATCTCAGCTGCTCGTTTTCATGATGCACATCCATAAGTATGAGCTATAGTCCAAATTGCTTAGGGGGTTTGGTATATAGGGGATCATATAGGGGACTATAGTAGGTCTTAATAAATAATCCGGGTCAGCACAAAGCCCAACATATATCTACTACGCCCTAAATCCTAAACCCTCAACCTGAAGCATGTACATTCCCGGAGCAGCCTTCCGCTGGCTGAGCACTGACCTCGCCAGGCGACCCTGAAATGCCTGGAGAAGGTAAAGAGCTTAGGGATTAGGACCTAGAGACTTACTGATCAAGTTTAGGCAGTGGAGCTTCTGTTCTTCAGGACGAATGGTGAGGGCATGAGTTTCGGAAAGTAGGCTCTAGGAGTTAAAGCTTCGGGGTTTGGGCTTGAGCTTCGGGACATGAAGGCTTCGAAATTTCATTCGGGAAAGTCTGGAGGTACGTCTAAGGTGCAAAGTCCTCGAAATTTAGTGTCTGAGGCCTTAGCTTTGAAAAGCTTTGAGTTTGACAAAGGAATGCTCAAGAGCACAGCGGGAAGCCACAGGTTTTTGCCTAACATGTCTTGAGGTCTTGCGGTCTACATTAGCGATTGTCTGAAC